CACTAGAACTTCCAGTACTATGTTGAGTAACAGTGGTGGTTTAGTTGCTAAGTCATGTCCGACTCTTACAACCCCATGGACTGTATGTAGCCCATCAGGTTCCTCTGTCCATGGGATTTCCCAGGCAAGCATACTGGAGTGGGCTGCCATTTCATTCTCCAGGGGATCTTCCCGACCCAGGGATCAAACCCACGTCTCCTTCATTGCAGGTCAACTCTTTACTGATGGAACCACCAGGGAAGCAAGTGGTGAAGCAGGCATCTTTGCCTTGTTCCTCATCTTAGAGGAAAAGTTTTCAGTTTTTCACCAACATGGGACATTATGTTCACTGTGGATTTTGAATCTATGACTTTTATTGTGTTGAGGTAGAGTTCTTCTGTACCTAGTTTGTCAAGTGTTTTTATCATGAAAGAGTGTTGAATTTTGTCAGTTGCTTTTTCTGCATAGAAATGATCATTTATCCCCCCCCTTCATTTGCTTAATGTGGTATATTACATTGGTCAGTTTCTGTTTGTTGAACCATCCTTGCATTGCAAGTTTTAATTCCACTCAGTCATATATATAGATAATCTTTTGAATATGCTCCTGTGTTCTATTAGTATTTTGTTAAGGATTTTTTCACTGATGTTTGTAAGAGATACTGGTCTGTCTGTAGTTTTCTTATCTTGAAGTGGTTTTGTCTGGTTTTGGTATTGGGGTAGTGTTGACCTCACAGAATGAATTAGGAAGTGTTCCCTTAACCAGTATTTTTATCATGGTTTTGGTTATGATTTGATTTGTTTTTAAATGTAAATCAGTTCTCTGGGTAGTAGTAATGTGATATGGAGAAAGAAATTTAATGTGAGATGTTTTCCATATTGAGTAGTTAAAAAAAAACGAGATAAAATAGACTGATTCTGTGGGAATAACTTTGAAATAAATGAAATGAAAGTTTGTGGAACAATATAATAGTCCATTTAGTTTCAAGACAGGTAACCTGAATTTATTAATACCACTGGAACTGTCATAAAAATAAGCTCTAAGATCAGCTTCAGAGCTAAATATTTTATTAATAAGCTTGTTCAAATTTAAATTTTAAAACATATAATTTAGTATATGTACATTTTATTAGAACATAGAAAATGGGAAGTTGTAAACTTTCCAAACATTTAATAAATTGAGTATAGTGATATCAAAACCTGACAAATTTAACAGAAAAAATAAAATGCCTGGTCAGTCTCACTTACGTAAAAATAATATACTAATATATAAAATAATATAAATAAACATTTTTAAATGTTAACATAATAATAAAACTTGAACAATTTATCCTGGAAATGTAAAAGTGATTTACTACTAGGAAATCTATTGATGTAATACATCCCTGAAGAAAGGCAAGTTGGGTAAAACACAGTGGTCATTGTGGCTTGTTTTATAAAAAGAAACATATACATGAATTTCCATTTTAAACCACATATGAGAGACTTTTACAAGAGACTTTCACTTCATTTATATTTTTTCATTACCAATATATTTGGTCTTAACTTATGTTGTTTGTTGTTTTTGTTTCGTTCCCTTCTTGGTACTCTGATTTTTATTGTCAGTTTTGTCTTAGCTTTTTCTTCTCCAGTGATTTGGTAAGGTCTATATTCAATTTTAATGGTTATCATGGTTATTTTAAAGTTGTTCAAAAGACTCTTAAATCCATATCAGTAGTCTTAACAGATTGTTTTATATAATGGCTTCTCCATTTTTGATTTGTGGGGTCTCAACTGGATCATTTTCAAGAAGTTCTTTGAAGGAAGATTGCTGGAATCATATTTTCTGAGTACTTGTATATTTAGTAATAATATTTGTGGGCTTTCAGACTTTTTTTTTTTGACCAAGTATAATGTATTTGACTTCACAGAGTTTCTCTCTTAAAAGCCTGAAACTATACTGTTTAATGTTGCAAAGAAATCCAAAGTCAACCTGAGTTGCATTTTTTTCTTCAGGTTATTGAGTTTTCCTATTTCTATGGTTTTAGAAATTATGCTTTATCTATGCAGTTAAGATTTACCTAAACTTTTACAAGCACTTTTCTTCATTGGTTATTGTCATTGACATTTAGTAGTACAAAAGTTGAGGTTTTTTTTTTTTTTTTTTCCAAGAAATTTTTCTTTTGCTTTGTCTTAATTGTTGCTTTCCATTTCTTATTTTCTCCTTAGGATCAACTGTATTTCATAGCTTACATCTCCTTACTTTCTCTAAGTATCATTATGTTTCTAATAGTTTTCATCTCTAACTTTTTACTCTGCATTCTAAGACATTTTCTAAAGTTTATATTCTACATCACTGAATTAAATGTGTGATAGTGTTATTTTTATCCTTGTTTCCTCCAGTGTAATTTTAATTCTGCATTATTTTTCATGCTTTCACCTTGGTCTGTCCTCCAATATTCTGTTCCAAAGATAAGAAATCATGTTGTAATCTACTGATGCCAAACAGTTTTCTAGAAATTTGTTTATGATTCCTACTTGCAAATGACTTTCCTCTCCTTGAATTGTCTGAATGGTATTCCTCATGAGTGTTTGCCGGAAGGCAGTGTAGGTAAGTTGTCCATAGCTCCACATTTTCTCAGCTCAGGTGATCTTTGACCTACTGCTTACTGGCTCTTACATAGTTGTCTTAGCTCAGTTTCCAGTCTTTAATGGAGTTTTCTTCACCTTCATTTCCTGGTTGTGTGCTATTCTGAACAAGTGAGCATAGTGATAGAAAAATGATAGCAGATATTCTTTGCTCCTGGAGATCCTTAACACATCTCTCCCATAGACAGTGTCTTACATAGACAGTGCCTTGCCAAGTTGTTTTGGGGGCAGTTTGTTCTAACTAGAACAAGAAACAGAATAGTAATGGAGGGGGCAATAGAAAATACTGGCTGCCGTCTCAAAACATAGCACCCATACAATAGAGAAACCAGCTGCGTGGTTTTCTGTTAGTTGTTTCTGAATCAGAAGACCATAGAGAGAAGCTAAGGATCTTTACATATACTTGCATATGGCTTGTTCTCAGGCCCAGGGTAACTGGTGGGTATTTTTCTTTTCTGTTCTTTTGACTTGCACTATCTTAATTTGCTCATTCTTTTGTTTTTTTCCAACCATTTCTTACTGAGTTCCATGTGCCAGGCACTTTGCTAGGTACTGGATATTATATACTGTTGAACAGAACAGTGTTCTTTCATTGATGGGAGAAATAGTTTCTGAATTTTGTTGACAGTGCATTTTGGTGATGATGTGATGTTTTATTTCCCTTTTCTTTTTCTTCTTTTTTTCTTAGTATTTTCTGGCAAGTTGAGAAAGGTTATATTAATAACTATAACATAAATACCAGTTTTAAATTCTTTTGTTGTGAGCAGTTTTTAAGTTGCTCTGAATCAGAAAATAATTTTTATAAATATAATGTTCATTATCCTGATCTTAAAGTATTATTTCTCCCAAAACTTCTTGAGATGACTAATTTACTACTATCTTCTCTTTTTTCTTAAACTTGCTTAGCTTTCTTAGATGAATAAAATTGTCATATTAACAAAATTATCATGTTTTATATGATCTCAACAAATGTTTTGGCTTTATAGCACTTTAGTTTACCTTAGAGTTTTCATAACTAGTTGAAAGGCAAGCAGTAAAGCTGTATTAGGTGATAATAGATTGAAGAATTTGGTACTTTAAAAAATGTATTATCTGGTATTTATTTTAAACATAATACTTGAAGGATTTTATTTTTCTCACCACTTTGTATATAAGCGAATAGAGGTAATTTTTATATGTGTTGCTTATATTTACAGAAAAGGTATTCTGGGATTTTTTATACTCAGTGCTTCCAGTAAATATTATGAACAAAACAAAACAGAAAATCACAGAATTTGGCATATAAATAGACAAGAAGAAGCATAAAGTACACAGAGACCTATAAGTGTGAAATGTAATGAATAAAGCAATTGTTTAATTTTAGTAATAAGCAAGGCCATAAAAGCAAGTTAGAGCATTGATTTACAGTTTAGATAACTAACATATTCATTAAATAATTTGTAACAGTTACTGTTAAGGAAAGGGGACTTTAAGCAAAACAGGACCTGGCAGTTAAAAGTACATGTCATTTTATTTCCCCAGAATCCTCAGTATTAAAAAAACAAGAAGCTTTCTGTATGCACTGATTGGGGCAGAATTAATTTTATAAGATTGTAGTCATATTGAGGGTAAGAACTATATGTAAATTACTTTGTGCCGCAGAATGTTACAGTAAAAAAAAGATGTGGTGCTTTTGATAAAGAAGACAAAATCTTTAGGGGGAAACATAGTATCTTCTTAGGCTGTAGTAAGATTAATAGTAATGTTTTCTTTAAAGGTAGTTGTCAGGATTTGGAAGTCTTTTCCATTAGCTACACCAGTCTCAGCCAGTTTGCTCACATCTGGGGCAGGTTTTGTTAAATTTGATGTTGTGTAGGGGAAGGGAACAACTTCAGGTGAAGTGCAGAGCATGTTGTTTTCACAGCTCTTTCACCTAGGGATTAGAAGTCTTCTCCACCCCCCTACTTCATCCCCATACCAAAGTATCGGCAGAGATCCCAAAGCCCCAATCTACATGCTGTCTTTAGCTGAAAATCATGCTCACAGAATTTACTGTTTGTGTTGGTTCTTCAGTTAATCATACTAGTCCAGCTGCAGTTTGCCTTCACATTGAGGTAAGAAACATAGCTAATTGGTGTATTGTATCTATTTTGTAGTGGAGGTGAGCTAGCTAGCATTGCTGAAAGATTCATGCATTACATGCATTGGAAACTTGCCTGAATGCTAAGTTTGATATTTTCTACAGGTTTGATATTTGCAAGCTTGTTTTGGTTGTTTATGTTGTAGCTGAATAAAAGGATACTTAACATGTTTTTTCTAAACTCTTTTAAAATAATCATGTTTAAATAATGTGGGACTTTAATTTTGAACTCATAATTTCTATGTATTTATAATGATTTCTATGCTTGTTTCTAGGGGCCACCTACAGATGCTCCTGCAGTGGACACAGCAGAACAAGTCTATATCTCTTCCCTGGCACTGTTAAAAGTAAGTGTTGAATGGAGTTACTGCTTTTACTGAGCTCTGCTGCTTTCTCTGTGTCTTTTACATTGAAATATTTTTCATATTAACCCTCTCATAAACTTGTTTTAGGTGCATGTATAAATAGAGTGGTTTTATTTCCACTGAAACACAATTAGGTTATTAATTAAAAGGAGGGGTGTTCGAAGATCTCAAAGGCTTTGTGTCTGTGTATCTTCCTCTTTACAGATGTTAAAACATGGTCGAGCTGGAGTTCCGATGGAAGTTATGGGTCTTATGCTTGGAGAATTTGTGGATGATTACACCGTCAGAGTGATTGATGTGTTTGCTATGCCACAATCAGGAACAGTGAGTACCTTTATGGTTGCCTGCTGCAAGTAAATGTGTTTCTTTTTTCTTTTCCTATGCAAAATAACTCATATTGTAATTTTCTTGATAGAAAAATTAATTATAAAGGATTAATAATAATTTTTAGACTGTATTGAGTTAAATCTTTTAGATGAATTATGAATTCCCTATAGGTCTACAGACTGAGTGATGCTAACATTTAATCCCTTTACTTTTCCTTTCAGCTTTAGCTAGCATAGTGTACTGGATTTATGCTATTTTAATATGATAGCATATTAGTTTGATTAGTTTGAATACTTAGTTCAAAAGTTTCCAGAGACTCAATTAAAGTTTTAATTCATGAACATTGTTTAGTCCTCATGTTTTGTCCTTATTGTTTTGAAATAGCACCCATTTAAAAATGTTCTATATATGGTGATAAATGACTCTTAAGCTTTTCCTATTCAAAATGTTAAGTTTAAAAAAACCATGACAGACTTCAGTTCTTTTTACCTGGGTGTGGTAATTTGTCATAGACTAAGCATACTGCATACTGATTGTGAAAGTCCTCTACCCATGGGGGTTTTTTGTAGGGTTGTTTTTTTTTTTCTCCTGTTTTGTTTGATGCATTGGACTTGTAGATAGGTGTGTATTATGGTTTTTAAAAACTGGCCAAAACCAAAAACCATTTACTGACCTTCCAAAAAATAACGCACATATTCTTCTCATCCATTTGCCTAAGAAAATACGTATATTTATCTGATGAATATCCTTATGTGGATATCTGTTATAGTAAAGGGTTTTTAAGTTTTAATATCTTTTATTTCCTTGTAAATGTTTGTTTGATCATATAAAATAGAATATTTGATCTCTATGTTCACTCTGTGTAGTAGAATTGGAAAGTTTCTCTTCTAGCCCAAGAGTTAGCAAACTTTTTCTGTAAAGACATATGTCTCTGTCTCATATTCTTGTTTTTTTTTTAAACCACCCTTTAAAAATGTAAAAAAAACATTCTTAGCCTGTAGGCAGCAGATTGCATACCCCTGTTCTTGAGGATGCACTCTCAATTAGAATTCAAAATACTGTTTGTTTTGGTGGGAAGAAGTGCTTATGTTAACTGGTTTGTTTAAGTAGATTAGACTTAAATTCCTGATGTTAGAGGGAAGCCTTGAGGGAGCTATAATGACAGTAATCTATCACTGGAGAGATGACATGAATGCCTTTAATTCTTACATGTCCTGAAATTTTCTTTTGGTTGAACTAGCAAAATAATGTAGCATTTAAAAGACTTGGTTACAGATTGTCTCTTTTGGGAGATTTTTTGAGAATGCTTTTGTATTTGAGGTAATATTTCAAATGTGTGTTATTTCCCACCAATTGCCTAATCTACCAAGCAGTCTTAACAAAAGCACTGAACTTCCTCCCCTCCCAGCTCAGCCACCCAAAAAAACAAGCAAAAAGAACTCTTTAAATTGTTAAATTATTTTCCTTCCAGGGTCTTTACATTACTGAAGAAAAAAAAAAAGAAAAAGACTTGAACTGTTGGTTATAACAATAGCCAAATAGTCATAGAACTTTGAATGAGATGGAAGGGGCTTACTGCCTATCAGTTATCAGAGGATGATTTTAGGAAGTATGCTTGCCTAGACAGATCTAAATAAGAAGTTATTGATTCACTAATATGGTATTTCTTGTGTGGGTGTGTATTTGTGTGTGTACACATTAGTCATGACTGTAAACTCTTATAAAGCATCCTAAAAATTACCTTAACTCATTAACAGAAGTTTGGTACTTGACAATTTTTTGGTACTTGGCAATTTAAAAAGTTTTATTGATGTATGATTTATAATTGAATGACATGGGTATCAAATATGGGTATCAAAATCTATTAAATTAGTTTGGTATCCCCAAATAATGTACATAGATTTCTTGGCAGTAGCTTTTTGTTCATTATCTTGTAATACAAATTTTTTTTTATTGTTTTAGAAGCTATTTTTTTTTCTTTCTAAACTAGGGCGTCAGTGTGGAGGCAGTTGATCCAGTGTTCCAAGCTAAAATGTTGGATATGTTGAAGCAGACAGGAAGGTAAATACAAGTGATCATATAATGGAATAATGGAAAATATTTTCAGCAATATGTCTCAGAATTTTAGATGTTTATGAATATCATTCTTAGGAAAAAAAAAACTGTGTTGTTAATGTGGTAGTGTTACTCTTAGTGCTTACCTTCTAGTATCTCTTTCCTGTAGAATCAAAGAAATTTGCCAGTCAGAAAAATGCCTCATGTTAAAATTCTCAACCATTCCATAGTAAACTTGGACTGTAGCTTCCCTCTGTTTAGCATATGGAGTTACTCTCTAGTCACTTATAATTGAAAGAGCTTGTATGTTCCAAAATTCAAGAGTTGCAGCTAAGTAAAATTCTGAATATTGAATTATATTTGTAGTCATATCGAGTTTTACAGACAGGGAAAGTAGAATTCAAATATTGTTCAGGTTTTTTACCCCAGATTAAATCTCTCAATAGTTGTCATTCTCTTGCTCAAATTCTTCTACTGTGGAAAAAACTTCAGAATTAATGTTAGCAAAAGGCTCAGCAGCTGGGCAGAACAGTGCAAATTGGTTTTTGACTGAGTTCCTAGTTCTCTTGCTGGTTTAATTGATATTTAATCCTTTCACAACAGTGGATCCTGGTGTCCATTGTTAAAAATGTACTCTGCCTGAAAAATTCAACTCCCAGAGCTAAGGAGTTAAAGAGTAGATATTTACTTGAATGCTGAAAGGGTAAAAACTGGCTCTGAGAAAGTGTGGTAACAAGGTGAAAAACTGAAAGCCTTATCTACCACTGCTAATGTGCATCTCTTAATGATAGCACTCCTTTGTCACACTTATTCATTTCCATGTTTTCTGGGTAATATGGTGTATGATTTCAGTGTTTCTAATGGTGTTTTTTCACACCTGTGTGTTTTTCATCTCTTCTTAATTTATACCCTGTTAGTGTGTTGTTTCTTTTCATATCATAAATGTATTACTTGTTCTATTCTGAACGGCTAAATGCCCTCTTTGTTTCAGGCCTGAGATGGTTGTTGGTTGGTATCACAGTCACCCTGGCTTTGGTTGTTGGCTTTCTGGTGTGGATATCAACACTCAGCAGAGCTTTGAAGCCTTATCGGAGAGAGCTGTGGCAGTGGTTGTGGATCCCATTCAGAGTGTAAAAGGAAAGGTAGAGTGGATTCTGTCTTTATTAGCATCTCCTGCCACATTCTGTTTACAGATACATTAAATAAAAATCTATTTTGTTTAAAGCTTTTCTTAATTACACAATGAAACCCTGGTCTTTTTACTTAAAAAAACAACCAAAGAAAAGACTTACAAGTCAATAAATGTGTCTTGGTATTATTACTAGCAATTTAACTAGAGATTTGTTTCTTCTTTAATCAGTCTAATCATAAGTGTTTATCTTTAAATAATTTTATTTCATAGATTTAAGAATGTTAAATCATACTGAAAGTCTGCTTTTCACATTTTATTAATATTTTCATAAACATTTCTCTGCCTTTTATTTTAAAATGGTAAATTTGGCATTGGCACAATGTTTACCAAATCTAGTTTAATAGCTCTGTTTTGCAGACATTGTACAGGGCATATTCTGGAGTTGTATGTTCCAAATATTTTAGACAATGAAAACTTGCCCCAAACACTTGGTATCAACCGTTTGCATTTTGGGAGTGAGGACAGAGATGAATGATTAGATATGCTAAATGATTCTGAAAAGAGATTAACTTGCAAAGCATATTGGGTTATATTTGTTCTTGTTGAAATCTTTTGTTCTTGTTTAGTTCTTTTTTCCTTCTTTCTTTTCTTTTTTCCTTCTTCTTTTTTTTGTTCGTTCGTTCTTTTTTTTTTTTTTTTTTCCTTCTTTTTCTTTCTTACTAGCCCCATATGCCATTTTCCTATTTCCTGCCTCATGACAGCAGGGAGCAGCTCTATTATCACCTTCACAGAGCTGTCTGCAAATGTGAGAGGCAATTCGATTTTGCTCAACCACAGGGAGAGTGGATTAGAAAAACTACAGAACATACAGAAATTGGCTAGGTGGTTACTGCTTTAAAATACTGCTGAGGTGTCTTGTTTGAGCATGTACTTCCATTGTAGTGTAGAATAATTGTTAAAATCACAATACATTTATGGAATCCTTTTTATGCAGCTTTTACAAATAATTTTTGGAGCACTTAAAAGTAAATATTAGCTTGCTATCTATGAGACCTGGAGTTTGATAGTAATGCAGATTATATTTACATCTGCTCAACAGCTCAAACAAACTAAATATGGTTGTTAAAACATGGAGTTTTTATCTGCCATGAATTTGAAGTTGAACACTTTTTGACATTATATTACTATGATGAATAAAAATTGAGGTCTTCTCTAAATCTTGATACTATTAGATGTGATTTAGCTTTTCAGAGGCAGACACTAGCCACAAAAATAATAATAGAAACTGATAGTAGGCAGGTGACTGGGTGACTTCTGAGTCTTGCTATATACCTGTATTTCAACTTATTTACTTTCTTTTTCTACTAAATGTGTTGTTTTTTAGCTGATATAGATAAAAGGAATTGAAAATCCTTGAATTTTGTTAGTTTTATGAATTATAGTACAGTATAGTATTTAATTCTCTGATAATTAAGATACCTTTTAAAAAAGTAACCCATAAGTAACTCATTTAATAATTATTTTAGAAATATAACTATCTGATTAAATTCCCCCACCACAACACTTACAAATAATAACTGAAACTTAATTTAAATATAATTAGGATTCTGTTTTGTAGTTTTAGTGTGAATTTTTACGATACTTAACTTGTGATAGTGGCTAGTTTGTAAAGGAAAATATAAAGTTAAATACAATGAAAGAAAGCATTTTCAAAATAGAATGTAAGTAAATGAATATGTGTTTTGGTTATCTTGTTTATAGTATTTTAAATGGCAGCTTTAGTTTCCAAACCTAGTTTAGGTATTATGTAATAGTGGAGTTTGCATTGTTTGTTTCTAATTAAGCATAACTCATGTTAAAAGAGTGCATTCATTAAAAAATGCACTTGTATCACATGACAGTTGTAATGTGGTAAAATGTCGTGTTTTAAAATATATATCAAAGACTACTTTATGGACTTAACATGTATCACTATTTAGTTTTATATGTCTTGAAAAAATATTTTTGAAAAAAATTTAGTATAAGCGTCTATCATTGATTCACATCACTTGTTGTACCTAACATATATATTCATGCAATTATATTACCTCAAATAAGGATCTAGTTCTTTGTCAATATTTTAACTTTATTTATAAGGTACCTGAGTTTGGTTATCATTTATAGTTCTCTCAAAGACTCAAAACTATGAATTAAGTTTTAGTAAATCCATGGCCAGAGTGTTCTAGTTAAATCATTAAATTTAAGAATATAAACTTTAAAAAGAAAAGAATAATAACATAAGACTCGCCCTTCCCCTTCTCTGTACAAGATTTAGCAAAGCTGTTAAAATGATTAGATCAAGAGTTAAAAAATGACAGTCTGTATATAAATGATTTAAGTTGGGTCTCAGTTCTTTTAATACTTCTTTCCTGTATATTTTTATCTTTTCATTTTTGTAAGTCCTAGTATTTCCCCCTGATTTTGAGTGATTAGGTAAAAATGGATTCTTTCTTTGTAATCTCAATCCATAAAGTTTGATTTCCTTTTATTATTTCATTTTTTCCTTGACTTGACTCTATGTAAATTTCTTGCTATGTGCCAGGTATTGTGATAATAACCATATGAACTTAACTCATTTATTCTTTTTGGTAATTCTGGAAACAGACTCTATTATTCTGTCAATAAAAGAGTAAAAAAAATTTAGTCAGAGAGATCACTTTGCCCCAAATCATCCTATTATGTAATAAGCAGCAGAACAAGAATAAGAATCTAGGTCTATAAAAGTAAAGAACTCAAGCTGTTTACTGACTCTTTAATATGAACAATGTAATTAGAATCACTTGGGAATGGAAAATAGGTACCAAAGTCATTGCAGGGCCTTTTCTTAATTTACATTGATAGATGTCATTCTCTTCAGCATAAGTCAGAGGAAGGAACTGTACATTTTCTCAGAGTTCTCAATAGTTCTATGTGCTATTTTTAGTAGGTATTATATATTAATTGATTTTCTTATATAGTATTTTTCTATTAATTAAAAACAATTTAAGCAGACCTATGTCTGTTAGCTTTTGTGACATCCCTAACCAGCATAAACAATAAAATGTACTATATAATAAATACTCCATATCTCTGTATATTATGTAAGCCTGCAAGTATTTTTAAATGATACAGGTGAAAAATCAATGATAATAACATTTGTAATTTAAATGGAGTATAAGCTTATAGAAATTACCAGTGAGTTCTTCTCTAAATTTACCAGTGAAATAGTTTTTAGGATTCTCTTTTATTTTACTTATAATGAAAACACATATGAAAACATTTTAATTAAACTTCAGTTTTCAAGAGGCGTGGTGGCAGCCTCTTGCTTAATGTTTTGTTATCCTGTATATTCAGCCTACAACTGGACTCAAATTTAGAAGTAAATTCAGCTTGTAATATGATTATACTTCTTCATTAGGGCAAAAAGAATAATTTTGTGCAAAGTCAAAACTAGACTACCAACTATTACTACTTTTTTTGAGAACTAATTTTCCTGACAGGATTCCTGTCAATAAAATGTTCAGATGTTACCTGCTGACTCCAAACAATCTTTGTATCTATTCTCTATTTTGAAAGCATTAAAAAAAAATCACTGAAACCCCTTTATCCCAAATAAATCTTCACACTGGCTGGACTTTCTTGAAGATTTTTTGTTTACTTTGATTGGAAATATCCAGTGGGCTTCTGAAAATGTGTTTTATCTGGTTTCAGATCAACTCATCACAGATACTTCTTAAGTGTACCTGATATGCTTATTTGCTAATGATTTTAGGGTATGAAATAAATAAAAAATGGTCTTAGCCTCTTTGAGAAGTCATACATATTTAGTGTCACTAAGCCAGGTAACATTCTGCCAATTATATGCTGGTAATCCTACACTGCATACTGATATAATACAAACTAACTATACTATACTGCTTTGTTTCTGTAACTAAGTATTGAATTGGTTGCTAGTGACAAATAATTCAACTAATACTTAGACCCTTTTATGTGTCAACATGCAATAAAATAGTACTTGTGTAGCAAATATAGTAAATGCAAATTAAATGAAATGTAGGCAGAAATCAGTGTAAGCTGCACAGAGTAAATGAAACTTGGCCCAAATTTTAAGGACATTACTTAGAAAAAAGGAGCTTGTACTTTATGTGGAAAATGTAGAAATGATGCCATTCAAAGTGGTTCTTTGTTCATTCTTTTTCCCAGAATGATATTAGAATATTTTGCAGAATTATATTAGAATATAAAATGAGTAGTTTTTGTTGTTTTTTAATCAGTGTTTTACAAAAAAGTTAGGGCTTTGAAGAGTAGAAACAAAGGAGGAAAGAATTAGGGAATGAATAAGAGCTTACTTTTTATTTTCAGATATCTAGAAGGTTATGTCTTTTTCAAGGTAAGGGGGGAAATAGTTTACTTATCCAAGAAATTTTCTATTAGAAAGTTTTAAGATGGTGGAGATTTTAAACTGTTCAATAATCATTTTGTTTTAGCACTTTCTTATTATTAAAAATTATATTTCATAAAGGCTGAGGATAAGTAGAGCACAGGCTTTGGGGTCAAGTCTGCATTAGAATCCAGTTTTAACTCTTTTTATAGCATGACCTTGAGTATGTTATCTAATACTCTTGAGGTTCAGTTTTCTCATCTGTAAAACAGGATTTTAGTAACTATCTCATAGTGTTATGAATATTGTGAAGTGATATATAATATATACACACTGTGCACATGCATGTAGATGTGCAATAAATGTCGCTTCACTATTCTAAAGATTAAAATAATTAATACTTAAAAGGAAAACCGACTAGCATATTTTTAAAAATAGAATCTGAATATTTTTGAAAATTTAAAGAATAAGTGTATAAATTAATTACTAATTTGCTCACTTTAGGAAGGTGAAGGTAACAGCTACAAAAGAAATGAAAAAGTTCCCTTTTTATATTTTGTACATTCAGACTAAATTAGGAATAGTCATCTAATTCAGCTGATATTTTTATT